GCCCTGTGGCGCTGCGGCTTCTTTGGGCTGTGGAGCCGTTGGGTAACAATAGCACTGTCACCAGTCGGCTTGTTGGACGCCATCAGCACTGCCCATGGCTGACAGTGTAGTGGCATTGGTCTCCCCATGAACTGATGGTGTCAAAGCAGGTGTAGGTGCTGCAACCACGACCAAGGTGTCCAGTTGAGCTGTCAGTTGGTCCTTCAGGGCGAGGAACTGAGCTTCCATCTTTCGTTTGAATGTTTCGTGGTCAGCTCTCATGTCTTGCTTGATTGATTCGTTGATAGCTCTCATGAGGTTGAAGTTGTCGAGGCAACCGGTGGCCTGTTGCCTGTTGCAAGTGGATTCAGATTTCTTCCATGGCTGGGGTATAATTGGGATCTGGGTGACAACTGGAGCTTTTGGGAGACAGCTCTGAAAACTCCCCATCACCCAGCTGGTGAGTGGTCCTACCGTTGGCCATGGGTGCCGGCCTTTTCTCAAGGATGTCGAAGGCTGATGTGTATGCGTCTGGTGGGAACACTGTTGACACAGGTTGTGCCGGTGTCTTCTCAAGAATGTCAAAGACGGATTTGTTTTCATCTGGTGGTGACACTTGTGGCTGTGTGTCCCGATACTGGTGGCTGTAGGCTAGGTTGCTGTTGGCAGCTCCATCGTGGTGTGTGGGACGGGCACAGGTGTAGCTACCTTGGACTTGTTGGGGAACAGAGTAGACGTAGTGCCACCAACGTTCGGAGTAGCCAGTGGCATAAGGGTCACTCACATCGCTGATGACACCGTAGAAATACATGGTGCCTCTTGTTACTGACAAAGAAGAGGTGTACCTGCTGTACCGGAGCACCTGGTTTTCAGCTCTTGTAGTAGAAAGGCTGACAAACTGTACTTGGACCACAAGCGACTCTTGGGACCTGCCCTATGAGCCTGGAAATTCAAAATTGGTGTCAATGGAATAAGGTAGCCTGTGTACCAAGCTCTGGAACAAGCTCCCTGTGTGCCGTGTTGCTTGAATCTCTGCTTGATTTGTGAGATTTTGCCACACCGGACCCCATTACGGGACCATGAATCTCCCCACAAAAGCTGCCAAAATTCAAGGTGAGAAATACCCACTGACTAAACAAAGGTAGCCAGTGTCCACTGGTACCACTTTCAGCCAAGTGAATTGCTCTCTTCGTTGCCTTGGAGCGCTGCGAGTTGCCTCTTCGATGGCTCTATTGGTTCGCTTCCGTGGCAAAGATCGTGATCTTCACGATTTTCAATGACTCGACCACGTTGTAAACACCTTTACAATTTGAGCGCAAAGCGCATTACACGCAATGGGCTTGCTTTCAGGAACAAGAAACCGGTACGGGGAACGATTGTCTATAAGTCTTCGGCGAACAAAAGATCAAGATTCGAATAGGAAGATCTTGTACGTTCTGCCGCGAAGATGCAAACCCTGCTTCAGGTCACGTAATAAGTACCGAAAACTGCGACGGACGTTTTGAATTGGCGGATCAGCTTCCAGTGAACTCAAGTTCCAAGGGCTGAATCGATACAGGACGGAAGCTCTGACACTGCGAAACTGCACGATCGGCTGAGCCGTCTGAAGCAAGATATAAGCCTCGGATCTTGACGCAATAAAGCACGTAAATCAATGGAGGATTGCAAAGCGATAAGCCCGTATCCTCGAACCGTAAAAGCGTTGCTCGATGGCCAGATAGTGCAAAACAATAAGTCTCGACTTCACTCAGACCCAGAGTGTCCGTAACGGACCAGTGGTTCTCCTTTCGGGTGAAAATTGAGCAGCTTCCTCTTTCAAGTCAAAATGCATTGAGGAGAGGTTGTGGGGTTGAAAGATAGTTTCTTAAGGCAATGGGCTCTCTGTGAGTGTAGATTGGAAGATTAGCCAAGAAGGTCCTGTCACTGTGGTGGTGCTGGAACTATCAAAATCGATCAGAAGGTTGTTAACTTAGGACTTTCAAAATGAGCGCTTTGAAATCCTGCTCAAATCGCAAATGAAATTCATATGAATCAACTGTACTGTCGTGTAGCACTGATTGTTGTATTTGAAGAGATCCTTTTCTCGTCAAGGAGGTCTCTTCTTCCCTTAAGAACTGCCTCACATCTATGCGTCTGTAATCCAAAAGTTTCGAGGATCCAATTCCAATACTAAGTAGTCGGACTGGACCTCGTGAAACCCTTCCTCAGGGACAGCGGTATCAGGCAATGTTCAGGGAGCCTGTTCGTGCCTCAAGGAGTATCCAAACACCCCAGTAGCACCAAACCAAGGACTGTGCCCTGTCAGTCAGACAGGAGGGCCAGCAGAGCTCTCTCTGGGCCTTTTGGGCCAGCTCACCTCAGGAGCTGTGGTGCCTTCGTTATTCAATCGTCAGTTGCAGTCTGGGACAGTACTATCTGCTACCTCCTACTGCTTCTTCCCGGCCTCAACAGATGGTATCAACTGCTGCGGTATCAAAGGGCTACAAGCTAATTCAATGACGGTCTCAATCTACGTACTATTTCTAACACTTGGTAGAAGAGACATCCCTTTCTGCTGCTTGCTGGAAGATAATTCCACTGCTGCATCGCTGGAATCCTGTAGGCAGCAATGCTGTGGAGCTATCCCAGAGGAATCCAGAGCTCTTGCTCCTAAAAGTTATCGTGTACATTCGATTTTTCATTGTCTTCTTGCGATGTGCAGGATCAAGCAAGGAATCTTGGTTCTGGAACAGGGTACTTCAACATTCCCGAAACACGGTACACCGGTATCATCTGATGGGTTTGGATCCTTCTGCTGCGAAGGAGGGGCAACTCTAGTACCAAGAATGAGTTTTTTCTGTCGCCCGCACCAAACCCACGATGCTTCAACCAGTCAGCATTGCTCCATTTGCAGCGAGCCTTCATTTTACTGTCACCGTCAGTTATCACAGTTTTGAGACACACGGCCTTGTCGAAGTAAATGTCTTAGGTCATCTTCAACAATGCCAAAGCTTCCTTGGCGCCAGCTCCTTCCTCATGGTCCACCACACAACTACGTGGTCTGGTACGTCTCACCCTTCTTTCTTGGCTGTACAAAGCTCGACAGAAGAGTGCATTTGGTACACAAACTGACGGGTTTTCTTGTTTTCTATGCTACTAGACATGCATGACCGGAATGAGAATCAAAAGTCCTCCCGCTGTGATCTCTTGTTCCATCCCATGTCTGTGGATGTTCCTATATAAGGAAGTGTTGAGCCTTCAGGAGGTGAGTCTACCCGTTTCGAGGCATTCTCTCCAGGCCTTCAAATCTTCTTCTTTACCAGCATATGTAAGCCTTATCTCCTCCATCAAGTTGTCGTGTAGGTACCCATCCACCAGATAGTCCACGTATGGTGCCACTGTCTTCTCTACCTGAGAGAATGTTCTCCTCTCCATTGAGTTAGCTCCCGGTAAAGACATAAAGCCAAGGAACCTGGCTGCTTCTGTCCCACCATCTCCACTTCCAACAAAAGCAAGTACCAAGCGTATATTGACATCATAGTCCACGTTCGAATCGCCCATTGCGTCTGACTGTCTCAGTGTTGTTCCTTTAGGACATGCCAGATTAGGTTTTACAAGAGGATCAAGCTCACAGTGGGTGCAGTGCAGTGTTGGCGTGTTGCCACCCCAATGGATGTAAAGGTCAACTGGATGGTTCCCGCCTTATGACACTTATTACAAACACAATTGCCCTCAATGAGTCGAGACAAGGACTCTGTTTCCAGTATGGCACGGGTAGGTTTTGGTGGTTCTGTCATTGATTCCACGTCTTCAGCCACAACTTCCACTATGACTGATTCTTCCTCTGATTCATTGTCTATAGCCTTTCTTTTGCCGCTTTTTCTATTTGCAGGTTGAACTTTCCTTTCCGGTGGTCAATACCTTCAATAGGATCTACCCTCGATGAGCCACCAGTGTCAAGACGTTTCTTGTTCCATGATGGGCCTCCCTTGGGATGGTGCTGGTCAAGCTTTCTAAGTGAAGCGTTGTTACTCCTATTGCGGTCCATGGTGGTGAACTTTTGCTGTTGTGGCAATAGTAGTCAAGGACGCAAGCTACAAAAGACATCCACAAAGACCGGAAGCAGTTGGCTACTTGGTAACATTCATTGAGATCAACATACCTGTCTCTCCATTCATGGTTAGCAAAAAGCCAACTGGCTAGCGTGGTGTGTGAGGAAATTTGGGACAATTTTAGCGCGGGTGAATGGCGAGACATGCTTCGAGGATGGAATGAGGAGGTCGGAAGTTCCAAATTCCCACGAAATCATGGGATGGATCTAAGAGCTAATGAAAAGTTTATCTATTTGGAGAGCTTTCGAAAAAGTGAGCAAATATAATCTTAAAACTAAAACGCACTGTATCCCCCGTGGGACATCCTTAAATGAGGAGCATGGCTACAGCTGTACCGGTACGGGTACGATGGCTGGCTAGTAGGAGAATAGCCCTGCGCATCTCCGGGCCTTTGCTCCAAGCTTGGCCGAAAGCACCATCTAGCCAGCTCTACTAGCTTGAATGGTTTCACAAAGCTCACCACCCACATCGGTTCAGAGGTGCGTGACAAGGACATTAGCTGGCCGGCTCGTTCCTCAAGTTATCGCAATATTATTGTTATTAATCAACACCCATCGTTCCGAGGCTTTTCAACCCAAAGAGGACGTCCTGTGATCGATACAAGGGTGTTATCCTCAGTCAAATAGCTGCTGGACTTCACTAGAGTCACTGTGGACACCCCCTGTGCAGAGAGAATGCCGAGGTTACTTGATTTGGTATGGTTTGGTCGCCAAATAGACCAGATTTTGCCCATCGAATCGCGCACCCACGGAACGATGGCCCGATATCACGACACTGTCTTGCCGCTGTTGCTGCCAAATGCAAGCCTTGTTGTTTGCTTGCTTTCTTTGTCATTTGGTATGGTTTCGGTTGCTGTACTAGGTGAAATCGACACTTTTATTAACCGTCAGAGCTAGCTATTAAACGTACTCCGTTCGGACTTGACACGCACTGCCCAAACCATCGTCATTTCGGAAGATTGCTGACCAAGAAGAAGGCACCTTGCTAAAGCATACATACTCAAAATAGTCCTTCCATTGTTCCTTTACAACGTATCCATTGATAGATTGGATGAATCCTTCTGGGAGAGAGAGGCTGTCGATGTGTCGTCCTGCTGCAGGGGCGCTGTCGGCCGTCTTCATTCTTGATGGGTCCTTCCTGTAAGGCCCTCTTTTCTTCTGCGAGAAGTGCTCGTTAACTTCTTCAAATATCGTTTCAATTTCCGGTCTAGACTGAAGCATGATCCTTCGGTAGATCGTGTGTGCTCTCTCTTCAGTAGAGGTCATACATTTGAGAGGATCTCTTACCCTCTCAATGCACTTGTGCGACGATTCAAAACCTTCCTCGGAGCCTCTTCCAAGCATACCATGAAGGCGGACAAACTGTGGAATATGTGTCACTAGCACATGCAGCTTGTTGAAGATTGTTGCGTCTTCCTCGCCTCTTGCACCAGACGAGATCCACAGTTTGGCATATTCTTGTGCTGCCGCTTCAAACTGATCGCATGCCAATACAGACCACTTCCTTTGGCTTTTCATCGCGACGGACATCTCATTGAGGAGACTCGTTTGCTTCAAATAAGTGTCCATCAGATTGCTAACACCTCGCTGCAGCACCGGATTGTCATCGTAAACTTTGTGCATCCGCGCCACTATCTTATCTCTCCTCTCAAGCACTCGGAGGCCGTCGCCATTTGACAGCTCGAATCCACTATTCTCAACACGAAAGTTGACTCTTCCGTCGACTTCATAGGCCTTCCGAAAGCAGTACGTCGCTTCACCAACAATGCGATTCTTCGTTTTCTTGGCAAGATTTCCCAGAAACTCATTTCCTTTCTCAACAAACAGTTTTGCAGCATCTCTTGCTTTAGTTTGTGCCTGCAGGGTGGTGCCAATATTGTCCCGTTCTCTTTGCAGCTGCTCGATCATTTCGGTTGCACCCATTGATCTGGCCGCACTGATGTCTCGCACTAGCTTTGCATCCTGTTTGCGAAGCTTTTCCGCAGTTTGGTTCGATGTTGGCAGAAACTGATTCGCCTCTGCCACCATTATCCTCAAATCTGTCAGCCATTTGGTCGATTTGTCGAGCTCTCCCAATTGCACTAACAGCCTGGTTGTGAGGTGTGTTAGCAACCCGCTTGATACGTGCATGCCCGAGCAGGTATTCATCGCTGGGGGAGTATAGAGCAATGGAGAATAAACCACGCTGCGATATTTCATTTTGAGGGTCTTGGCTCGTCCTGCTGAATTCAGTCTCACCCAGTCTGCAAGCCCTTTTGCCTCTGCAATGAAGCCTTCAAACAGCCTTGGATTCGACAGCTCACCTTCTCTGTTGGCTGGCTGCTCATCTCTTGGTTTGGTGAGGTAAGCGGCGAAATCTTTCTTCGGGGCAATGCAAATCGTACAAGGGCACATGACCGAGGCAGTTCCTTGGCCCATCACCGTTGTGTTGCATTTAATATCATCCGCCGTGAGGCATTTGCTTTGCAGGCAACACACCTGCACGAAGTTGTTGGCTGCAGCGCAAACGAGATCTTCCGTGAAGTACTCTGTGTGAACGGCACGGCCAAAGCAGTTTCTCAACTTGAAGCCGTTGTAAGAAATGTCATTGTCTTGGTCGGCTGTGCTTGAAACAATAAGTTGCAGAGAAAGCCCAATGCGATCTTGATCTTGTTGGAGCAACGCTTCTTCCTCAGGATTGAACAGGCGTACCGATGGAGGCAAGGATCTTTCCTCCACAGTGGCGGCAACCACTTCAGTCTCATCTTGGTTGTATCTGTCAACAACGAGACGCCAGCGACAGCCTTCGGGGAATACGAATCGAAGCATCTTGCACTGGGCATCCAAGACAGCTCCAGAGCTGCTGTTGTGGACCGTGACAACAATCATGTGATATTCTCCATTTAACAGTGATTGCAAGAATTGTCGCGTTGGCTTGTGAGGATGGAATATCGTCGCCTGCAAATTGTAATATGATTCTTTGCCAAACTCGTAAAAAGAAAGAGGGAGACAATGTTGAGAGCTGTTGCCGCCTAGTCTGTTCGCTAGCCTGACAAGATTTGCCGTGACATCGCCTCCTCGATCAGATCCTTGAACAACAATAAGCTCTTCTTCATGATTTGAAAACAGAATCGAATCTTCAAATTTTCCAGCGACTAAAGCGCTCTGCGTAAGACGTTGTATTGCCACTGCAGGCTCCTTTATCCACACGTGCAGACACCTTTGGTTCCTTGTATGGCCTCCAATTTCAAGGGAAACTAGCTCAAAGCCAAGCTTTATATCGAACATATCCATCGAGTATTTTGCGATCTTTTTCCTCAAGGTAAGAGGAAATAATGATGGGCCAATTGATGGCACGGCCCATTTCATGAATTTCTGTAGTCGCTCAAGTGCCCTTCCGGTGGCTGGCAAATAGAGCATCAAAGCTGCGCATTGGGCAATGTCAAGTCCACAGTCGTTCTCCTGCTTTATCATTCGCACGCCTCGTCTTTTTCCGAGGCTTTGAATAATGGATACAGTTTCATCAAACGAGAGCTCCAGATTGGAGAGAAGAGCTTCAACCAAGAAGCCTTTTGCGCGAAGTTTCCTCCCCTTCTTGTCGCCTGTGCCCTTCCTATTCTCTCTGATTCGCAGTATCTTCAGTGGGCTTCCATTCTTGAAGGGTCGCAGTGTGATGATCTCGGCGGAGGCTCTTGCTGAGGCTCGGAGGATTTGTGCCAAGTCGCTTTCATCGTCATCTTGTTCGTTGTCGTCTTCATTGTCCTCTTGAGCAAAATCAAGAGCAAGAGCATCCTTTTTCTTTTTGAAAAGGAAAGCGACAACCCGAGAGATTGCTTCCTCAACAGCAAAGCTGATATTGTCTGCATTGATATCAGCCATGATGCGCCCGTGAAAGTCTAGAACGGGCTCATCCGGCAGGGATTCCTCGTCCGAAAGGAGATCATCGTCCGTTTGTGTTGTTGCGTCCACCTTGAATTCGTCTGTCTGTGCTGTTGCATCTACGTTCTCAGCTCGATTGAAATCAAGGCGTGTCCCATTGTGCCGCCGAGGCTGTTCATAATGCTCATTGCGAATTGTCGGAGACAAAAATCCGTCGTCGTCTCCTCCGTCCGATGAAACACTAACCGGAGAGCACACGCTTTGTGCTTGCGCTGGAGACAGCACGCTGACAGGTGATGCAAAATCTTCTGCTGCTACAAAAATTGAGGGGGTGTCTCTCATATCCCGACGCTTGGAATTGCGATCCATGACGGCAGGGGAGAAAACGTTGTTGGCTGCAGCTTGCTCTGATGGATTTTCTGGTCGAACAGATCTTTTGTTGTTGCTTTCATCAACTTCGGAGCTTTCTGGATTGCTGCCGTAAGCTTGAGTGGCCCAGGCGAGAAAACTGTCATCCAATGCCGAGGAACATGCTCGTCGAATGGCAGGTTTTGACACACCCCATGCTGTAGAGAGGAGCTCAGATGGAGATGTACCATCGGCGCCCCAGCCTGCCCCCGAAAGCGCCACGAAAAGAAAAAGCAGAAGCCTCTTTTCGTTCCCAGGAACCTTGATCGATTCATTGATCGATTCATTGTCATTGGCCATCAGTCGCTTCTGGAGCCACCCGGACTCGAGTTTGCTATTGCCAGCAAGGATGTAGTCAAGAAGAGGCGTCCCCTTTTTTTTCCTTGGTCGACAGCCAATTGTCTGTTGCACGGTCAGCATGAAAGCTTCCTGAGAGAAATCTTCGATCTCATTGCTGTCGTTGCTATCGCTTCTGTCACTGCTGTCAGAGGCTGTTTCAGTGGGCGAAACTGAACGGTCGAAGAGATTTCGCAAGTCCAAACAACTCTTGCTTCTTTGCTTCCTGCGAGGGCGGAGTTCCATCGTGCAACAGCTCGGGCATGTTGCCAACTAAGGAGAGTCTGAAGCAAGTCATGGTCTTGTTGATTGGCGCCTGGTCGGGCTTCAAATGCGACAAAAGAATGATCTTCGGGTTTTATTGGAGCCTCGTTCGAAAAATTGGTCCATTGCAATGTATGTGTCCGCGCTTCTTTGCTTGGAGTTTCCGATGTTCGATGTTGCGAGGTACTTGGCCAGCTAGCTCTGGCAACAGCTTGTTGTTGACATTGCTCGCTTTGATAAGCTTTCGAAGGATTGATTCAATGTAAGGACGATCGATCGTCGCGGTTGGAATGTGGAAAGTGCCGACAACGGAGATGGATCGATCCAGTTAGATCGTCGACAAGTCAAAAAGTGGTGAAACTGTAAAAATGAGCTATAAAGTGATGTTAAACCGTGCTAGTTCTTTCTGCCAGAGTTGCAAAAAAACTATTAACCACCTTAAGCCGTACACCGATTTCGAGAACCAAGGTAGCTACCTTGGTTCCGGACCAAAATCCATCTTTGCTAGAGCCGATCAGCTATTATTTACAACGCACCAGTGGAAGGCACAAGCAAGAACAAGCCATCTACAGCCAAGCAAGTAGATAACAGCACTACGTCTAGAATAGAAGGTTACAATAGCTACAGCTGCAAAAAAGATTCACTGTTTCGTTGGTTGTTGCTTTGGGGCTCTGCCGTCCTCAACCAGCCTAGATCTTGCTTTCCTTTGCTTCAGCGGCTGCTCGCAGCTGGCGCTCTTTCTCTTCTTCAAATTTGCGTCTAGCAATATTGGCATCAACGAGGGCGGCAGCTTCCACCACGGCAAACTCAAGCAACTTTCCTTTGTCATTGTTTCCCAACTTTGGAACAATGATGTCAATCTGTCTAATAGCTTGAGGATGTTCCTCCTCTGTAGACCGAAGAAATCGCATTCGAATGATCCGTCCGCTTGATTTGTTGCCCTTGATCTTCTGAAATTTGGTAAACCATTCGAAGCGACTAGTCAGACGCAGCTCCTCGTCTTGAATGGGACCTTCCAAGGTGGTGACATCATTGGGCAGAGTGCCATCGGCATTCCTCTTCACTTGGACTCCTCGGATAACGAAGCGATAGGCAATGGCCGTCGTATGACGATCAAAAGTTGCCGAACCTCGATAGTCACGGATTGTTCCGTCATACGTCTCAAAACCAATCGCAACGTGTCTCGTTTCTCCCATATTGTCGAAGTCTTCGATCGGATCAAGTGAAACTATTGGTTGGTATAAGTGGTGGGGGGGGGGGGCGAACGATGAGGCTCGAAAGGATCCACTGTACTCCGTCATCGTCGCTGGTCCTGGAAAACGAACAAAGAAGATCAAGTTGTGAGTGAACCGATTGGCCAACCAAAGAAGGAAGCCAGACAGCCCAAGAAGCTTCTGACAACGCGGAGACCATACCCCTGAGCAGCCCTCCGGGCAAAAAGAAGATTCCCCCACTCAAACAGAGCCCGCCAACGGAGAAAGAGGAATTTTCGTGCAGTTTAAGTGAGAAGGCATCGCCTTACCACACACAAAACCCACCTGACGACTGAAAGCGTTCATTTTCCAGCAACAATCGGCAATGTCATCGCTTTGCAATGACGAGGTGAAGATTGCGTTCTTCTCCAAACGCAGCGGATATGCGACAGCAGTGAGCAATGATACTCTTGCAAAGATTGTTGCTGGTATCAAGCATGGTATCGAGCGTTGCATTGACCGAGCGTGTGATGTTGACATGTTCGCTTGTATTCAAGGAGAAAAGTACATTCCCAACAGTCTCCCAATCAACCTGAAAGAAATCAATGCAACAATGGAAACCGGTGGGAATGGAGATCTTCGATTCAAAACAAAAACAGGTAACCATACTTTGCACGTGCTTTTCAGCGGTGGTGGCACCCCATTTCGTGTTCAGATTGTCGACCGTCCACAAGAAAACCAAACTGGCAGAGTCCATCGTCGCCCCCCTCGCCAGAACATGGTTCCTCCGCCTCGCAACGACATGGGTCCTCCCACACAATTTCCCTCAGGCCAAGCCCAACGTCGTGAATCGGTCCGCAACAGACAGCCTTCTGATGATTCGTCGTCGTCGGAACATAGTCCTGCTCGTCCTATCAAGATGCGCCGTCGGCAGCCAACCGCACCGCGTCCTCCTCCAAGCGACAGCGACGATTCCTCTTCTGCTGAGGAATACAATGATTTTTCACAGCTAACAGGGCGGCGTAAGCGCACTTGAAGAGCTACCACCGGCTAGCTATCAGTGCAGGACGATGGCGCCTGAAACCTTGCCTATTCCAAAGGCGACGGCTACTTACTATGGTGTTGTCATGGTTGGTGTTGCCATCATGGCTGGTGTTGGTGTTAAGCGGATTGCAGCGGTGGCAATAGTATATAACACTTTATCTAGAATGAATATATGAATGTTCATGGCGCCCCGGCGGGCGAGGCTGGCGCTTATCGTCCCCCATGAACCGATGTGCACCATCACTCCCATTTCCACCTCCCTTATCATGCAAGAGGACGAGGAGTCTCCCCTCCAGCATTTATTCCATGGGTCCACTGAAAGGGTCCTTTTGGAATTGCATCCTTGTCGGGATAGTGGTGGTGACTTGGGTTTACCGGCCTTGTTTGGTCCGTGGTTTTAGTAGTTCTGCTTCCAGCCAAGATAACCCTTATGGTAATTATGCACGGTTGTCTCGTCGCGTACCGGTAGAGCAACAGTGGCTTTTGCTAGAAGAGCAACTAGTCCCACCGACAAATCCGCCACTGGTCATTGACAGTAGTAGTGACGGTTGGACCGAACAATTATTGGATCCTACTTTGCCAACATTGGCAAGAGAACGAAATGGATGGTGTCTCTACAGCACTCGTCTCTGGTTGGCACTGGAAGTCAAGTGCATTCCCTACCAAACGATTCTTGTGGAGTATCACCAAGATACCTACGATGGAAGCTACGACCAAGATGCCTACCATCGACTGCCATCCTTCTTACATGAGCAACAGCTGCCCCTTCTTTCCTTGCCCCCCAATCCAACCGAATGGCTCTCGGGTGGCACGGAAGATTCCAGTTGGGAACTGCTCCAGAAGATTGAAGACGCATTTCCCGATTGTAGACCGCTGATCCCACCCGACAACAACAACACTGCGGATAGTAGTATGCAGGATGCTGCTGCCAAGGCATACCAAACGGCACTCCCGACGGGGGCACGGTCATCTCCCCGAGCAGGATGGTTGTTTTCAAAAGTGGAAGGCTATCGGCTGGATGCCTTGCCGCGGGAATCCTTCGAGAGGTTTCTCGATATTGCAGAAGAAACCATCCGTGGTCCTTTCTTTGCAGGGCCGTCCTTGTCACTGGCCGACATTGTGTGGGCACCCTTGTTGGAACGCTACCACGTGCAGCTGCCCTCGTTGCACCGGGACCTCTTTTTGCTGCTGGGCAGTACCAACGAGTCTCAGTCGCGTCGTTGGCCCAAAGTACAACGCTGGTATCAGGCAATGATGACTGTACCGGCATATGCCTGCCGTGTCAAAGGAGATGCCGTGTCCTGGCACAAAGTGCTGAGTCGAGAACCGTGGTGGCCGTCTCCCGATTTGTGGCATCCACGGGATACGGTGGGCCCAAAGGGAGAATTGTACTTGACGACCGAGGAATGCAGCAGTCAGCTGGATCAACAACAACAACAACAACAACAATCCACGACGCTTTGGAAAGCGTACAGCGAGGCAAGACATCATATGTCTCCCAAAGGACCGGCAGGTCAGGCGGCACTATTGATCTTACAAAACCGAGCCGCCATTTTGGAAGATGCCAAGCGGTGGATGGAGGAGGAAGGTTATGGCGACGAACAGTTGAAAAACAATGACCTCAATGCTGGACTGTGCGCGATTGTGACACGGCTGTCAAACATGGATAACGCTGGTGGTGGCGATGCGACCCTATCGCAGTTTGAATTCGAAGAAGAATCCACAACCGCGCCAATTATGATTATTTTGCTCCAGTACCTGGATAGTCGAGTTTGTGTCCCACGCGATATGGGCGCACTGTCGGCGGCAGCTCTGCGCCGTCTCAATGCGACCTTTGTCGGTAGAAAGTCTCAGAATTGAATGCTACCCGCTGTGAATGCGGGGAGCTTTGGGATTCTTCCAAACTACACAATCAATGCATACCCGCCGCCGGATGTACAAGGAGAGAAAGACTGTTGTCTACTATATTCAATTTCTACATTTCAGGTCGGCCAATTCTGATGGAAGATCTCGGCGTCATTCCCCACCTGGTTCGCAACAGACAAAACACGCAACAACTCGCTACGGCTATCCGTATATTCTGACCTACACACAGCCGAGCACCTTTAGCATGAATTCAAAGGGGCGGCTCTCCTGGTCAATTTGATTGAACGTGCCAACCATGAATACTTCCTTGTCGGGTGAATAAAAGGAAAAGGAGGCATTGGCTCCACTGTGTCCATAAATCGGAGGAATATCAAAGCAGTACAGTGTCATCCATTTGGGCAATTTGAAACGCATCAATCCGTAGCCGTATTGGAGAGGCGGGACAAAGACAGTGTTCCACTGTGTTTGATTTTCCTCGTGTTGCTGGTGCTTTTTATTGTCAAACAACTTACCATCAAAGTAAGCCCGCAGAAAGACCAACATGTCGTCCATTGTGGATACCACGGCCCCATCCGGTTGAAAGGATGACATGATTTTGCCAACATTGTCGAGTTCCTTCTCCTTGTAAAAGAAATTCATGGGTGGCGTACGATCCTTCGCAAGCTTATTAATGTCAAACACGTAGGTATCCGCGCTGAGCCCGAGTGGTTGAAAGATGCGCTCTTGGAAATTTTCTGCAATGGACTTTTCCGTCACTCGTTCGATAATTTCACCCAAGAGCTGCCAGTTGGTATCGGAATAGAGGGATCTCTTTCCGCCTTTGGCGGATGGTTCAAAGACGGGGGTGATTTGTTTGGCCCTGTTGAGATAGTCCATTCGAGTCCACTCGTGATCTTCGTTGGCATGGAAACTATCCAGCACACATGCCCCTGTTGTCTTGTCCTTTTGCAAAAAGTAATCGGGAATTCCCGATGTTTGATGGAGTAGTTCGTGAATCTTGATCTCCGAGCTGTAGTCTTTTCCCTTGTAGACATGGATCTTATCGATCATTTCTGCAGGCAGATACTGAGCCATGCAATCGTCCAGACTCATCTTGCCCTCGTCAACGAGCTGGAATATGACAGTGGACGTCATCAGTTTGGTTTGACTGGCGATAAAGAATGGATCCTTGGTCGAGATGGAAGTGTCGCTTCCAGCGCATTGGCGAAAATCCAGTTTGGATTTGTCTCTGGACTGCACACCCAAAAGAATTCGACGCGAGTTCTTTTTCTTGGCTTCGGCCTGCAGCAAAGATTCTAGCTTCTTGACGCTGTCAGTGCCTTGATTCGGTGTGGATGTGGATGATTTCATGTTGATGATCGAGTTGTTTTATTTTGTGAGGAGCTCGAGCCTTCGGATCTTTGGTTTCCGGGGGTGGCGAGTGGAAGATCGGCCCATGGAGCACATGTCGGACTCGAGTGGATTTGGTGGATTTATTCGTGTTTTGCAACACGATTGAGGTCAGCATGCTCAAAGATCTCCCAAGCCTCCAGGCTACAGTCGTACAGGCAGCTTCGTTTCTATTGATTCAAACGCGAGCCGACCTTCTTCGTACATTTCTACACGAGCACTCGTAGAAGTGTATCAGAAAAGCTGGCACGCGTTTGAATCAGAAACATCGAAGCTGCTCGTATCAACTTCAGAATGGCGACCTCACCGGGCTACTGAAATAGTCATAAATATTGCATTGCTCGTCCTGTGCTCCTCTGCTCACCACATGAGATTAGAAAGCATCTGAGGTGGTGAGCCGAATGAACTTGGGACCATCAATGAAGCGAAACGGAGAATCCATTATTATTATTAGGTCATCCAACTTGTTGTGCCTCATGCTTTTGAAGAGCACAAGGTTCCATTCGTAGGCTGATCTCCGAGCAAGGGGGAAACCTTCTTACAAAGGTGCACTGTTTATAGATATACCTATGTTTGAAGAGTATGTAGCTAATTACATTGTTCGCATGAATCGCATCCACACAGATTGGTAGAAGAGCACGTGAAGTTGACCTTCTCAGTATCATAACAGATCGTATACAAGCCAAAGTAGTCATTGCAGGTATAAGTGATGTCCCAAATTCTGTCACAGAGACCATCCGGAATGGAGCCGGATAGAAAGGTGTCAGAAACAGTTAGCATCTCCAAACTTGCCAACTCTGTGAGGCTTGTCGGGATTCTTCCAGTGATTGAATTATCATGGAGAAACAGCTCGGTCACATTGGCCAGAAACCCCAGCTGTGATGGGACGGTACCCGAAAACTCATTGCGCGAAAGCCAAAGTAGGTCAAGGGATGTCAAAAGGCCAAGCTCTGTTGGGAGGGGTCCTTCCAACTTGTTGTCATGGATCTTCAGATATGACAGCTGTCCCCAGCTCTGGAAGATGGAGGCTGGAAGTGTTCCAGTGAATTCGTTGCCGTTCAACCAAGCCATGGTCAAATCTGTTTTTGGCAGCAGCAGCAAGAGTGTGTGAGGGTTAGATTCTTGAGAATGTGAACACAAACAGCACCGAATGATACATACTTGGAAACATCCCAAATTCAGTTGGAAAGGTGGCCGTGATTTCGTTGTCATCAATGTCAAGCCTAATCTGAATATGAAAACGGTTATTTTCAGTAATCCAATCGTGGGGCAAGCAATGATACAATGGTGGCAACCCAGGACCGCACATA